TACGATATGGACAATTGCCAATGTGTAATATTCTATTGGACTATACTTGTTGCCACAGGTCACATGTAAGTAGCTAGGATATTACTCATCTGTGTAAGTAGACGTGGCTGTAGATACCAGAGGTTTCACGACCGGTGTACAGGGTCCTATCCCACATGTATATATACTGAGTAGCTACAGCGCGAATAGATCCAAGTCCTCTAGCCTCGACAAGGCTACTTCTACTCCAGCACACTATATGTTCAATAGAGCCTTCACGCTCAAGAACCTCAGTCGATGTTACTTCATCCCGAACTGTTTGGGAGTCGAATTCCTGAGCCAATAGTGCGGTAGAATGATTATGCCTATAACACTGTAAGACACATATAAGACAGCCCGGCAAAACTTACCAGACATGGGCCTTGAGATGCTCGACCGCTTCGTCCGTCGAGGACCGAGTGAGCTTGCCCAAGAACTAGATATAGTTATTATCAGCACTGCGACAAAGCTGCCTGATCCACGGCATGTACCTCCAGGCTTTGCGACGATTCATATGCCATCCCAACACCATCATCTCTTACAATATCGTTACCGGCAACTATGAGCACGGAATGCAGCCCATGACTTTCGGCGAGTTTATCCAACTGTTCCATCTGCATGTCAGGATGTGAAATGGTCACCAGGTCTCAGCGAGTACGTACCGAGGACGCCAGTTGTTGTATGAAATAGCCCAGCATACGCTTTCGGTCTTCAGGCAGATTGCGGCTTCGAGGAATGTTACATATCTTCTCTTGGAGCTTGAGAATTGAAGGCCAAGTCACGGGGTACACAATTTTGAACTGCTTCCAGCAGCTGAATACATGCTCAGGATCAGGATTGTTATCTGAAAAGTGCCGGCCGTATGATCACCATCAGTTCTGATCACCCACCACATCACAAGGAAGGGTATGCACCATTCATTATCGTTGAAGGCACTCGCATAGACTCCTCTTCAATGTTCACTGTGTAGAACTTCTCATAGAGCCTGAATTCATCCTCCTCGGCCTCTGTATCCAGTCGAAAGGTATTGAAACAAGAAAAGACGTCCTCAATGGGTATATCCAGATGCCCCGCAGCACGTCGAAATGTTGACTGTATGAGAGCGAAGTCCCGCAGCAAGGTGGCATCCATGCAGTACAACACTCCCTCAAATCCGGTGCCATTCTCATCCAGTTCGCATGGGAGTTGTTTGGCCATCGACTGTCGAGCATCTTGACCTTCCGATCTGTGTGAATTCGCGTCCGAATGCTGGCCCTGCACTGAAGTATTCCTCTTCTCTGACAACTTATCGGACATTGTGTGTGGCTCCTCGATGATCGTCTCAAGCCTCCTGTGAGAAGCCATTGTACTAGTAGTACCATGTCAGCTGGATGAACGTGCACTCATCCCCGGTGCTTGGGAATGGTCGCCCGAGACACTTCGCAAAGCTGTCGGAAGAGCCGGGGTCAATTGCCTTGGGCCATCTGCGAACAAGCCTCCGACTATGGTATATTCGTGTATTAGGCGACCAGCCTCTCCACCTGTTTCGCTGTCTGTCCGCACCATTCTGGACGAACTAGGCAAAATGCTCACGGAATGCGGGCTCGCGGAAAGCGATCGAGCTCGCGACTGGGGAATGGACTGAGGTTCTACTACTGGTTTGTTAGCGGTTACATGGCTCGTGGGAGGTGCATAGCTAGGCCTATTGTTGTTGAG